TACCCACAGAAGAGCGTTTGTCCTTCAGAAGACAGGAGCAGCTCGCCAAGGTCGTTCATGGCTCGGCGGTAGTCATGGAAACATTCCATCAGCGCTCGCCCCCATCTCTCCCTGCACTGTTGGCCTGGGGACACTAAATAAACAAACAAATAAACAAACAAACAAAAATCAGGTAGGCCAAACTCCCCTGGCAAATATTCTCCTATATATAGCCAGCGTAGTTAGTCTGGCAGAGACTGCTTGTAGACAGTTGAGTTGGCAAGGTAGGCTAGCTATGACGTCACAGGGTCACCCTTGTGTCGAAAAAAGCGAGGCTTTCTGCCCGGGAAACTTGCCAAAATCAACCCACGTGTTAATCTGTCATCAGCTGTGCCGACTGTGTCTGCCAAACGGCTACAAGTGCCAAAATTCAAGCAGAGGTTGATTGGGAAGTTTGTGAACTTCTGAGTTTTGTGTTTCGAATTAGCCTCTACCAGGCATGTGTAGCGGATTGCTGTAGTAGAAATTGGCCAAAATGAAGGGAATAGTATACAAGGGGAGTTAGCTGGCCAGAGAGGGTACATTTTGCGACAAACTGTACTATCTGCCGGAACAACTACCCCGGTAGAGGGTGCACAATATTTCCAGTTTGTTTTGTTTTATATTCCAACATGTAATCACGAGACGTGGTGACGGCACACTCAAGCTTTTTCAACTTTTTTTACATGTATGCCGTCACCAATACAGGGGACAATACATGACAGTACAATACTTATTTTCACTTGAGGAAAGTGCCTTTCCCAAGGGCACAAGATCGGTGGCATGTCAAGACTCGAACCCAGGGCCTCTTGGTTCCGAGTCGAGCACTCTGCCGCTGCGCCACTCTGAAATTGCGATCAATGTCTTTAACAGCCGTATGAAGCGTACCACGGCCACAGCTTGCCGCTGACAGCCATAATCCACACTAATCCGTCCGGATAATCTTTCTCCTGACAACTTGAGCCGGTCCAACTCCGTGATTATTGTTGTCTGTCAGACAAGAACGACCGTCGGATTAACCGGGGAGAACCTGGGCTACGTTTTCTGTCAGACATAAGGCCAAATTCGTCGCATCTTCTCTAAAAAATACCCTGTTCTACTCTGTACAGAGCACAGGGGTGGTGCCCATCTCCATTTCTGTAGCCCTTGGGCCACACCTTTGCGCAATCACTTCAACAGGGGGCTAGTCCACTGGTAGTGCTGTGTGTTTAACTCCCATACTCTTTCCCAAATGCTGAGTGCTAAGCAGAGAAAGCAGTATGTACCATTTTATCCGGCGTTTTATCAGGCAAGACTCTTTGTATATTTTTGCCAAGCCTTCGTAATGTCGTAAGGCCATACTGAATTTTCTATACATCCTTTAGGGACTACGGAACCGATGCGATGCGAGCTTGCTAAAAAAACTGGTCTCTATTGTTACAATCTCTTATACATGTATAATGATGATGATGGTGATGATGATGAAATTCAAGCGGTCAGGAATGTTGGACAAATGACTAAAATTCACAAAATTGTACTGTTGTCTACATGGATAACTTGCAAACAATCTACTGACCAGGCCTTTTAGATACAAGTGCAGACCATTGCACCTGTACCCGAAAAAGGTCTAAGGCACACAGCCCTATTTCAGCGGTTAGAAGAGCTAGGTTAACAGCAAAGACTTTAAACAGCCATAAACTGAAACTTATGTCTGTGGCCGGACCTCCCAACCAGAACAAATTTAAACTCGGTGACACGAGGTGTACTAACTGGCTTTCCAGAACCGTGCCTGATCCTAACCCTAACCCATTCTGGCACAGAACTAGACAGGTATTTCTACTCTTTCCAGCCGCCTCCCGAAGCTTGGTAGAGGCTAGGACCTCCCAACCAGAACAAATTTAAACTCGGTGACACGAGGTGTACTAACTGGCTTTCTTCCAACTCCAACGTTTATTTTCGCGGTTCTACAACAATAATTGAACGAAGCAGTGTTGAAACAGCAAGACAAGATTTTATAAGTTCCACCTGATGGCTTAATTAAAAGTGTTCAGTCAACATTCGTACACTAAATATACACACATGTAATGTATAGTCATTAAAATTGTGTTAAAATAAAGTTGAACATTTTACTATGAAAATAGTGATTTGAATACTACCTAATTCAGATTTGAGAAGTACGATTTATAGCAAGGATGTGATATTGCTTGAGAAGAAAGGTGTACACTGTGAACTTTTCTACTGCCTGCTTTTCCGTTCTGTCATGTAGATTGATGTGTATGTTTAGGTAGCCCGTCCGTCCACCCAAACACAGGACTCGCCTTTCCGCTAACTCTGGGCGAGGGTCCATCTCCGGTGTAGTAATTATACTCCCAAGTCGGACTGTGTCTCGTCGCTACACCTTCTAACCATTGGTGGCGTTCCATAGCTCTAAAGAGGGTCTGCATGCCTTTTTTAACTTATCGTTAAGGCCACACCGTTAAGGCCAGTAATTTTTAAGGATGACGTCCGCGCGCGCATTGATTTTGTCCTGTTCCTAGAAAGGAAACAAGAAATTTCGCTGCCTGTAACTATGTATGGCCAAGGAGTAACAATTACAAGATTGGAAGATGGAATGAAAGGAAAGAAACAGGACAGGATGACAACTGCTGCTCCGCTCATTGCCTTCGACTGAAGGCTATGCCTTCGGAGAAGGTTATGAAATCGGGTTTGCACTGTTTGGCAGATTAGGCACGATAACTCTTGAAGGCAAGGTCCGAGGTTCACGATTTTTGGCAGGCAGGTTGATTTAGGGGTGGCCATTGTCCAGGCAAAAAATGGGATTCGTGGGGGGTTCCTAAGTCACTGTAGTTGACCTTGGTTTTTGGTGTTTTTTCCTTGTCATCAAGATATCTCGAGAATCCTTAAATGGATGTTCATTATTTTTAGTGGGCAAGTTACCGTTGAAAATGCCGAGGTCAAGTTCAAAGATGGGCCCCGTGGGGGTTTCTATGTCACTGCAGTTGACCTTTGTTTTTTGTGTTTTTTCTTGTCATCAAGATAACTCGAGAATCTTTAAATGGATGTTCATGTTTTTAGTGGCAAGTTACCATTGACAATACCAAGGTCAAGTTCGGATATGGGCTTCGTGGGGGGTCCCCACGTCATTGAATTAGAAAGTACTGCAGCGAAACTTCTGGT